TTTTTGTCTTTTTGAGACAGGGTCTCACTATTCCATTCAGGCTGGCCTTGAGCTCACTTTGTAGCCCAGGCTGGTCTTGAATGCACAATGATCCTCTTGTCTCAGTCTCCTGAGTGCTGGGATTACAGGTGTGCGCCACCACACCCCGCTGGTTCATATACTTTCGATGGAATTTTTAATCTCCAGAATATCTGTTTGAATCTGTTTTATGGATTCCATTTCTTTCCTACATTGGGCACTCATGGTTTTCATCATTTTCCTAAACTCCTCTACTTTTTATTTTTTGGTTTTGTTTTCTTTTGTTTTGTTTTTCTTCTGGTACCAGGAATCGAACTCATGACCTTGCGCTTGCCAGGCAGGTGCTATGCCGCTGAGCTAAATCCCCAGCCCGACTCCTCTGCTTTTTAAAATCTGTATCTGGGGGGCTGGGGATTTAGCTCAGCGGCACAGTGCCTGCCTGGCAAGTGCAAGATCATGAGTTCGATTCCTGGTACCGGAAGAAAAACAAAAAAACAAAAAAAAATAAAATCTGTATCTGTTGTAGAATCACTAAGTATGGTTTTCATCATGATTACAACTTCTGTAGTTATCTGAGAAATTATTTCTGATTTGATTTTTTTCTACAGCCTCATTCATTTGTTTTGTTGTTACCACTTCAGAGAGTCCAGGTGGGTGGCTTTTGGATTGTCCCACCTCATTGCTCCCTGGGTTTGCCTTTGGTGAGCTGGAAGTCTGGAGTTACATCTTGTTTAAGTGCCTTCTTATTTTCTGGGGTTTTTGCTTGCTTGTTTAATTTCTGGGTTGATGCTTGTAAATTGCCTGTCACAAGTAGCTTTATTGCTGGTATTTATTTATTTATTTATTTTTTGTCTTTTTGAGACAGGGTCCTGCTATGCAGTTCAGGCTGAACTTGAGCTCACTTTGTAGCCCAGGTTGGCCTCAAACTCACAACAATCCTCCTGCCTCAGCCTCTTGAGTGCTGGGATTACAGGCATGCGCCACCACACCTGGCTATTGCTGGTATTTAGAACTGTTAGGAAATGACTACTTCTCAGAGGTATCTTCCAGGTGTAGCTGGCTTTTGGGTTTGGAGTCTGTTGCAAGAGCCTACCTCTTGGGGTTGAGAAGTTACTGCCTACTTGGTCCAGCCCCTGGTTCTTAGGCACTGGCCTATAGTATTTTTTTTTTATGACCCTTAGGCAACCTCTGTCTTGGTATGCCAGGGAGAGCAACTGGTTAGAACAATTATGTCACTTTGGTTAAACTAGTACAATTAGAAATAACAACAGCAGGCCAGGGGCTGGGGATATAGCTCAGTGGCATAAGTGCCTGCCTGGCAAGCACAAGGTCGTGAGTTTGATCCCCGGTACCGCAAAAAAAAAAAAAAACAATAGCAGGCCAGGCATGGTGGTGCACACCTGTAATTCCAGCACTTGGGAGGCTGAGGCAGGTGGATCGTTGTGAGTTTGAGACCAGCCTGGGCTACAACATGAGCTCAAGGCCAACCTGAACTGCAGAGTGAGACCCTGTCTCAAAAACACCAAAAAGAAAAGGAAAGAAACAACAATAGCATCAAACACAACCTAGAAAATAACAAACTGAGGTAACTCTTAATTTTCCACCTTTAATTATAAAAACTAGATTTGTGGTTATATAACAAAATCTAAAACAAACCAGAAAATTGTATGCAGTAAATAAGTCCTCAATATAGTGATTTTACCCTTGGGAGAAATTTTTAAAGGAGTTAAGGAAAAAAATAGAGAAATAGAAGAGGAAGAGATTAGAAGCAAGGCTAAGGACAAAAGAAGATCATGCAAATCTTGAAACCTGTGAAGAAGACTGGACGGAAACAGAAGGAAGAAAGAAAAACAAGAACAGAACAGAACAAAAATCTAGAAACCATGTTCATACTCGTGTAAAAATAAGAACAATCAATCAAGAAAAAATAGAACAAACAAGAAAAGAGAGAAAGAAAGAAAAGAAAAGAAGAGAAAGAGTCCACTTTAAGGAGTGTCTCTGCTGTCACTGGTAGAAAATGTGGCCAGATAGAGGCCAGATCTGAGTTGATTAATCACAGCAAGCTTTATGGCAGGGTGTTGGATAATGACGGTGAGCCTACCTACACCTTTAATTCTACTGAAGTTCAAGCTGGTTTCTAGCTGTGAGTTTGGAAGCAGACCTGTTCAATCTGCAGCAGTCTGTGCACCCCTGCCAGCTCGAGTTTGGCTCCATGACTTCCTGCCGACTTGAACTTGGCTCCCTCACCCTGATAACGGGAGCTGCTAGATGGAGCCAGCAGCTGCTCTGCATTGGCCCCTCCCCAAGATGGCTCCCGGCCAACTGCCCTCTCCTGGGGGACATCTGAACCTGAGTAACTCACCAGCCACTGCAGTCTGCTGCGTCCACTGCTCCATTCACTGGTCTATTTCTCCTTGGAGGTCTCTGGGGTCACCAGTAGTCACCGTGGTCAGGTGTGAGCCCATGCTGAGTCCTAGCTTGTGGAGAAAGCACCACCTGCCACTTCCTCCTTCTTAGTTGAAATCTCTCTGCTCTCCTGTGGGCTTCAGTTCTTGCTTCAGATCTCTCCTGGGTTCCAGGCACCTACCACCTTCCTTTTTCTCTTCCTCACATTTCTTTTTTCTTTTTTCTTTTTTTTTTTGTCCTTTCGAGACAAGGTCTCGCTGTGCAGTTCAGGCTGGACTTGAGTCCTCCTCACATTTCTGTATTGCAGTATCCGGACACCAAATCTTTTTTTTTTTTTTTGGTCTTTTTGAGGCAGGGTCTCACTATGTAGTGCAAGCTGACTGAACTCACAGCAATCCTCCTGCATCAGCCTCCTGAGTGCTGGGATCATAGGTATGGGCTACCACACCCAGCCCATATTAAGAATTTAATACTTTATTTTATTGATATTTTATGTTCCTGTTAACTACACATTGCATAATATGATAAGAATTTCTATTTTTTTGTTTTTGTTTTTGTTGTTTTGGTACTGGAACTCAGGACCTTGCACTTACCAGGCAGGTGCTTGCGCCACTGAGATATATCCCCAGCCCTATTTTTTTTTTTAAAAGAATCTTATTAAAAAAAAAAAAAAAAAAGAACCTTCTGACAAAACAGCAAGACTAGCAAGCTGTCAAGTATGTCATACAAAAAGGCCAGGATAGCAAAATGTATGTGCTGTCAGTGTAAGTGATACCTGTGCATGTAAAGTGCTGTTGTCACATGTGAAGACTGCCCTAATTGAAGTAAAGATTATTTTTTTGGTAGAGTGCTATTGGTATTTTCATTATAATTCATATAGGAATTTATTTCTGTTGTTAGTTTTTGAGTTTGTACACCAAAAGCCAGTCAGTGTTGAAAATTTTTATGTTTTATAAACACTCAGTAAATATTAAAAATGCAAGACTTTATTTTTGTGATTTTTTCCTGTTAAGCACTTATTGTTTAATATACTAAAACTCATAAAATTAACATCAATAATTCATCAATAGATAAATTTTATTTTTTTATTTTTATTATTTTTGTGTTTTGTTTTGTTCTTTAGAGACAGGGTCTCACTATGCAGTTCGGGCTGACCTTGAGCTCACTTTGTAGCCTAGGCTGGCCTCAAACTCGCAGCGATCCTCCTGCCTCAGCCTCCTGAATGCTGGGATTACAGGCGTGCGCCACCACGCCCTGCAATAGATATATTTTAAAGAATACACATGCGTGTGATGCACCCGTGGTTATGTTGCATAATAACAAAAAGTGTTTTTTAAAAAAGGAGCAATACTTAAGTTTTGGGTGCATAGTTCTATACATATTTCTTAGATCACGTTTGTTAAATCCGAGTTTTGTTTGTTTTTGTTTTTGAGACAGGGTTTCACCCTGGCCTCAAACTCGCAATGATGGTCCTGCCTCAGCCTCCCAAGTGCTGGGATTACAGCCATGCACCAAGAGGCCCAGCTTGTTTTTGTTTTTAAAGTGGCCAAGCAGCAATCCGGGAGAGATGATGGTACGATGGGAGCAGGGAAGACAGAAGTAGGGGGATTCCAGACGAATTTGGGAGGAAAAAACCGGATCAGCTAGTGTTGTTGCTTTGGGGCTGGGGTGGGGGCCAAGGAAAGGGGAAGGAGACTCCCCTTTGGAGAGGACCCTCTTAGTTTCTGCTTTAGGGAACTTCACAGTGCTGGTGCTATGCAACTGAGAGAAAGAAACCGGGGACAAATTTGGAAGTCTCTTGTTTTTTCCCTAAGGGTGTTTGCTTCTTGTGGGACTGGCAATATTGAAGCGTGGGGCTGGGATTCAGCAACTGCCTTTCTTTTTCTAGAGAGATCTGTGAATATCTGTATTACAACACTTACCAAGATGTTGTCACTTTACAAAGTGTCACACCCACTGAATTGCCTTGCCGCATCACAAAGACTGCCTGCTGTGTGACCTCGCTCCTTCTGGCCCCGCCCCCAGGCGCTTCGACTGGGCAGCTCCTCTGTGCGGACCCAGCGCTAATGGGCTCCACTCCGCCCCAAGCAACCGCTTCCTCTTAGTCTAGTAGGACCACAGTGATTGACGGATGAGTTCTCCAATTGTCATGCCGAGTGACCAAGTAGGCGGTAACAGAGGCGGGGCGGCAGAAGTATGAGATGCAGGTGACCAGGAAGTGAGAGCTGAGACCGGAGAGAAGGACAGATTGAGTTAGATCGGAGGTAGAAAGGTGACCGGGTTTGTGGATCCCTTAATTTCCTCGTTTTCTGGGTGAGCGAGTCCCTTTGCAATCGTAAGCTAGGCTCTCCGTTTACCCTTTCTTTGGAGGAAGGGGGTGTGTCGGCTTCCTTAAGCGTTTGAGGGTCTTAGGCTCCTTCCTTCCGTTTCTCCTCCAGAGGCGAGGCTCTTAGCCCGAGGAGGGCTCCTGTTGGTGGGACCGTGAGGTTGTCTGAGGTCCTTGTAGGTGGTGAAGGTCCTCAGAACTCAGGCTAAGGGACAAGGACTAGAGAGAAGCGGGGGGATCTGAGATCCGCGGACTGTGCCCCTTTCCTGGGAGTTAGACGCCTCTGGGTGTGGCCGGCGGTAGGCAGAAGGTGGAGGGGCCTGGGAACTAGATTCCTGTGGTTAGGAAACTGGGACTAGAGTACGGTGTGCAGAAGAAAGAAGTGGAAACATTTCTCAGGGGGAGGTTGTGGTTGGTCCCCAAGTGGGGCGGAAGCCGGGGTTGGGCTGGGGCTTTAAATTCCCTTCCCACCTCCAGATCTGTGAGCTGTTTGCCTCTTTTATCTCCTCAGATTGGGGGAAACACCTGAACATGTGGAATCCCAATGCCGGTAAGTATTTGGGAGATCTCTGCCAGTCTAATCCATTAAAAAAATTTTTTTTGTTGTCTTTTTTTGAGACAGGGTCTCGATATATAGACCAGGCTGGCCTTGAACTCACTATGTAGCCCAGGTTGGCCTCAAACTTGCAGCAATCCTCCTGCCTCAGCCTCTCAAGTGTGGGATTACAGGTGTGCGCCACGACCCTTGGCATTTTCACCGCGATCCTTCAGCCTCTGCCTTCCCATTGCTGGGATTACAGGGTCATGCCACCGCGCCCGCTTCCATTTTTTCCTCTGGACCGAGGAACAGGAAGTTTCTGGATCATCCCCCAGTCTTTTCTCAAACCTGGAAAAGTGAAGTCCTTTGACCACTGCTACTAAGTTTTTCGCCTTCATAGAATTCACGAGGGAAAGTTCTGTCCCCAGCCCAGTTTTCTCCTTATCCTTCTCAGGGATATTTACCTTTTTTTCCCCAACCAGGTTTTGTCTCTGACCTCCTTACCTTTCCATTTCCCTTAAAGTACTAGGTGAGCAAGTGAACTCCACCTCCCTCCCTACACTGGGGATTAAACCCAAGGCCTCCACACTGAGCTGTATCCCTAACCTTTTTTTTTTTAAGGCAGGACCTTGCTATGTTGCCCAGGCTAAGCCTCATCCTCCCAGAGTGCTGGTATTAGAGGCATATATACTATGTGTGGCTAAAAAGTCAATTTTTTTTTTTTTTTTTTTTGAGGTGAGGTGGGGGCAGAAGTTTTAAGCAGTTCTAATCTTTATTCTCTGATTCTTTCACCAGGGCATCAAGGGCCATACCCACCCAATCCTGGGTACCCTGGAGGTTCCTATCCTGTGTGTCCACCGCATCCACCACCTGTCAATCCAGCCTTTCCTCCTGGGCCCTGCCCCCCTCCCCCAGGGAATCCAGCTTTCCCTCCAGCTGGGCCCGGCTATCCTGTGCCCCAGCCACCAGGCCCAGGATACCAACCCGTAGGCCCCTATCCTCCTCCATGCCCCCCGCCTGCCCCTGGCATGCCTCCTGTGGTCCCTTTGGGTCCTGGCATGGTGGGCCCAGGGGTGGTGATGGACAAGAAGATGCGGAAGAAAATGAAGAAAGCCCATAAAAAGGCGCACAAACACCACAAGCATGGCAAGGTCAGTGCCCGCAGGAGCCCAGCTAGGGAGGGGGTGCTGCCGTGCAGAGGGGTAGGCAGGCAGGGGTTGGGTCGGGAGTTAGTCTGTGGCTATGGGAGGTGGCGATTGTGTTCCTCTGGAAGCTTGTTCTTCCTTTCTTGAGAAGTGTAGGGCCCCTCCTATCTAGACGGGGCTACGGGAAGCCCTGGAATGTGGAGCAGAGTCAAAAGCCCATCTTGGCCGTCTTCCTCGCTGGGAACTTTGGCTCCTCCCCCTCAGGTGCAGGCGTTGGCAAGGTGGGCGCACCCGCCAGAGTTGTCCAAGTGTCACTTGAGTCAGTCTTTTGACAAAGTCTTCTGTAATAATTAACAGAATAATGCTCTGGCCCTGGTTGCTTTTTCTCTGCCAAAGTTCTCAGGGCGTTGCGTTAATTACACAGGCAGGGTTCCAACCACTCGGCCTCGAACAAAGCCTAGCCTGAGGGGTTTCATACTCAGCCCGGAGTATCTTCCGCAGGAGCGCTCCTTGGCAAGGACTGGAGCAGCTCTGAGGATTTGGGGAAGGAGGAAACCAACCTGAATCTTGAAGGGGCCTTCAATTACATCTTGGGCTTTTTTCTTTTTTTTTTTTTGGTTTTTTTTTTTTTGGTTTTTTTTTTTTGGTTTTTTTTTTTTTCTGGTACCAGGAATGGAACTCACAACCTCGCGCTTGCCAGGCAGGCGCT